AACTTGAGCTTGGGACCCTGCAAGGAGGAAAAAAGGGAAGAATCATAGAAATTGCAGGTTGTTCACAGTGTTCACATACGTGCATGGTGACAGCACTGTCTGTCCAGCAGGGGGCGAGGCAGCCTGTCCACCACCCTCAAGTGCACTAAAGAACTAAACTCAGCAGTGTTTCTGATAGAGCGGGTCACAACAGCTGTAGTTGCTTGAAGATCCCTGGTTCTGTTTCCTGTTCTGCCCCAGAGTATAATGTGCAGTAGAATGAACATGGGGTCAGGACCCAAGTCATGCCATGAATTCTCTGTGGGAACCTTCAATGACTAACCCAAAATAGCTGCTCCTCAGTTTCCTATAATGAAAACAGATAGTGACCAGTGTTATACAAGGATTGTATCAAATTTGAGTTAGACTGGTGCTTTCCAAACTTGTCTACAACCACCTGGGGAGCTTCAAAACTACCCATGTCTGGGTACTCCTCAGTGGGTTTGATTTAATTGGTCTGGGTGTGACCTGGGTTGGGGCATTTTTTAACAACTCATGGCTGATAGTAAAACAAGTTTGGGAATCCCAAATTTAGATAACCCTGGAAACAGGCTTTGTCAAGTCTAAGCTGAAAACGCATTTTTCTTCTTTGTCTTAAATCCTCTTCTTCTTTGATTTATTTTTTTACTTAATTTCCAGAAAATTGAAAGTCCATCTCCTCTCCTATGTGTCCAGTTCCATAGAAGCACTCAAGATAGGAAGTGCAGATTTAAACTCAAACTATTCAGAGTCATTTCCATGACTTGTAACAAGTTTATCCAAGACATATTATCCAATTTGAACGTCTGAATGTTCCCCAGGAAGACACCCAATGTTCCATGAGTCCAGGAGGAGGAGGAATTTATGGCTTTGATGTCTCATCCATTTCCCCAGTGAGTCAAGGGCAGAGGCTTCTGAACTTCCTGTTGTTGAGTTCTGCCAAGCGCATTGTGCACAATCAACCTAGGACCAATTCAGTTAGGATCTTTTGAAGGTTTAACACATGATTTCATGTTTATTTAAATCAATCAATGTCCATTATAACATACTACAATTTGTATTCAATACTGTATGCAATTCTTACCTGCTGTGGACAATCACCTCCTGGAAGAGGATATTAAGCATAAAACTCTGTTGTCATTGTTGTTTCCGGTGTCATACTTCTTGAGGCATGCTATAGAGATGTGTGTCTGGGTGGAGTGCTAAGTAAGGAAACTGACTGGGATTAGCGAGTGAGAATGTATTTCTGTGGCTCCTGGTAATTATTGCGTATTCTTGAATCCTGGCAGGTGCCATCTGAAAATCACCCTGCCACTTGTCTTTAGGAGCAGTGGAAGCTGGTGAGTGAAATGTGTTCTTCGTGACCATTTCAGCAGTGCACACCCCAGCCACGAGGGCTCTGCTCTCCCTGAGGACTGAAGGGATTTAAGGCTTGGTCAGGCCTCAAATGCCCTCCTGAGACCCCACCCACTAGCCTGCCCTTTGAGGGAACGTGGACCAAGCCAGAGCTCTAGAAGAATGAAGTAAAAGAAGCAAGATTATGAGAAGTAGTACAGACTCTTAGTTCATCCTGGTTTCCTCCTGGAACTTGCAGCATCTTCCTGTTCAGTGGGTAAGTGCCTGTTGGGGGTTGGGAGTGGGCTGGGCTGGGGAGTTGGGTAGAGGGAGCCAAGAAGCATCCATGGTACCTTGGAGTCACTTGGCTGACCTAGGGCTGAGACCCCTGCAGAACAGAGATATACCCAACAAGCTGGACATTTTCATAGCCTGCCTCTCAATCTCCTTTCTGGCCACAGACCCCTCTCTGCAGGCCTCACACTTACCCAATCAAGGCCTTTCCTTTCTCAATCTTGTACTTCAATGTGCTGAGGTGTCTGGGTAGACTCAGGTCCAGCTTCAGAGTCCGATACAGAACCACCTTGCAATCCCCACTCCACACACTTCGACACAAAGAGACAGCAGTATGGCCTTGGAGGCTCCACACCTGCTGCTGGTCCTATTGGTCCTGCTGGTCCTGGTCTCAGGTGAGGCAAAGGGACAGGAGGGTGGGTTGAGGGAACAAAGAAAGGGAAGAGGAAGCCTAGGAGAGTATGAAAAGAGGGACAGGACACAGAAATGGCTGGGGCCAGAGTGGTATCTGGGGCCAGGGTCTTACTCTTCAGCCTGACCTGAGGACCTGTTTTCCAGGTTCCTGGATGCAGAGCCTTGAGGCAGACATAGAGCAGAGAGAGGTCGAGGAGGCACTGCTAGTGACCTGCAGGTACTCACACCTTAGAAGGCCTTATCAATTAAGAACCTGGTGTAGGAAAAAGCCAAATGGCTGCAATATGTTAGTCACCACTTCTAAGCCCAGGACATTGGCTCAGGATAACCAATACACAATCTGGGATGACCCTGACTCTGGCTTCCTTAATGTCACCATGGCCAAGCTCAACAATTATGACATGGGACTCTACTGGTGTGCAACCTTTAATGTTTCCTCACACATCATCAGTCAGCTCAGAATGGTTCCTGTGGTGGTGAATCCAGGTGAGCTCCTTGTGGAGGGACTGCACCTCCCTGGACTCTCAGGACAAAGGCCGCTCAACCTCTTCTTGTGCCTCCTTCAACCACCAACTTTTTCCTTCCCTCTGATCCAGATTTGGGCTGTCACCTCCATCCTTGTGTGTCCAGGCCCAACAGGTAGAAGCTAAACACAGGGACCACTGGGTTTTGGTCACATATCTATCCCAGTCACATCAGGTATCTGTGGGGAACCTGGACTCCATGATACAGAGACTCAGATGTGACGAGATGTGGTGCAGACTTCTGGGATAATTGGCCTGTGCCATCTCTGTTCCAAGAAATCCCTGTTCTTGGGGTGACTCAGTATCAGAACTTGTCTCTCCTCAGGCCTCCCCTGACCAGTTCTGGGAGAGGTTCCCTCCCTTCATTTAGGCCCCTGAGTCAGACCTGCCTGGCCTAGGAAATCCTGACCTGAAGGACCCTGAGGGGCTGGCTCTGGCTTTTCTTCCTCTTAGGATTTGGGGGCTGACCCATCCTCTTTTCTGGTGACATGGGCTGTTGGCACCTTCCACATTGTCATCAGTCACACTTGCTTTTCAGAGAGGACCCTTTGTTCACCTTCCAGCCATGGCTCTAATAACAGGTAGGTCTGGGGACTCACCAGAGGGGATGGGCCTGGGAAGGGCTGGACTAGTGACTTGTGTGGCCTCAGATTCTAGAAGGGGGAGAACAGAGAGGCAGCAGCATAGGAGATGAGCTACAGGAACTTGAGAGGAGGGCCCCAGGACTCAGCTCAGATGGGCAAAGGTGAAGGAGAGCTTCCTCCATTTTGGAGCCAGAAATAGCCCATGACCAGGGTTAAAAGGGAATTTATGCCCACGCTGAAATGATACCAGAGCAAGCAAGTAGCCTGTACAAAGTCACTCAGTGTCTTTAGAGCCCTCCTGTTTCCTGGTTCAGAGTCCCTTCTGGGTGCAGAGACTCTCCAAAGGCATCTCCTGAGAGTCCCCACCCAGGTGTGCCTATTGCAGAGCTGGGAGCTTCTCTCCCTGGCCCCATGACACTGCTGTTGGTCCCTCTGGTCCCAGTAGCCTTCACTCCTATCATATAGAACTCAGTGCTGCAGAACTGCAAACATTGTCACACAAAAGAAAAGACAAGTCTGACAGACTACTAACCTAAAGGTTGGTGGTTGGAACCCACCTGGTAGCACCATAAAAGAAAGACTTGGTGATCTGTTTCCACAAAGATTAACCAACTGCTGCCAAATCAGTTCCAGCTCATAGTGACCCATTAGGATAGCATAGAATCACTCCTTACAGGAGCAGATAGCTTCATCTTTCTCCCCTGGAGCAGCTGGTGGGTTTGAACCACCGAACTTGCAGTTAGTAGCCCAATACAGCATCGGTATGGGTCCCTTCCACAAACATTGTTGTTGGTGTTGTGTGCTTTTGAGTCAGTTCCAACTCATAGGGACCCTTCATAGGGTTTCCAAGGCTGTAAATCTTTACAGGAGCAGAAAGGGCTCATCTTCCTCCCATGGAGCAACTGGTGGGTTCGAACCACTGACCCTGTGGTTAGCAGTCCAACGAATAACCCACTACACTACCAGGGCTCCTTTCACAAACATTATAGCTTTTTTAAGAAACAAACATAAAAAAACCCTGTGGAGCGGTTCTCTTGTGCAATCCATGGGGTCCCCATGAGTTGGAATTGACTCAACATTAAGGACTTGTTTTGTTTTCTTGGTCATTTCTATGCTCCTGGTTACCTTCTTCCTCTGTTCAGATTGTCTGGGTTCCTGTGATCTTCTTCCAGAGAGACCTGTATGGCTCTCCCCTTGACCACTGCCTCTTCCCAGTGAGTCCAGAGGGGAGGGGCACACAGTCTCCAGCCCCAGGCTGGACTCAGGGATGTGCTGGAGAAGGTGCCTCCTTCCCTTCTTCTTCCCGTTTTCAATGGAATCAAAGCTCTTTTTTCCCATCTGCCTGCCAGCTATTTCCTGTGGCTGATGTTGTGTGGAGTCTACACAACCAAGGGCATCCTGCTGATAGCCTTCTTTGTAGTCCTGAGCTTTAAAATCCTGGTGAGTTGGGCTGGGGTTCAGCTTGGGAGGCAGTGGAGCAAAACACAGCTTCTTTCCTGAGTGAGAGGGACTGCAGAAAGAAGTAACCAGTGATCACAGACGGGACATTATATAAATGATAGCATGCCAATTTCAGTTTCATTTTTTTTCTGTTTCAATTGGTTGTAACAATCCACCATTTTCTTTCACTGTTAAACTCATCTCTGGTCTACATTCACCCACAAATGCTAGACTGTAGCCTCAGGTGTCCCCCATAACTAACTCTCAGGAGTACATGCAGACATACAACACACACTTAGAGATACTCATTTCCACCATCAAGGAAGGGCCAAGCATACCTGCGAGTGATTCCTACAGTCCACCCTCACGGAAAGTTTGACATTGGAGAGGGAAGAGTTGAACCCAGAGCCCTAGAGTTCTGGGCCTGGGACTTCATATCATTCTATTTATTTCTTGAGGGGAAGAAGGATGGGCAGATGGAGATCCCTTAGGGGGACAAAAGACAGCGGGGTTAGGAAAATGGGAATGGGAAGAGGGTCAGCAGAAAGGCTCAGTTTGGAAGGGAACAGAGTCTGTGAATGCACATTTCCAGTTCTGAATGCCTCCTCCATCTCACCCTTCAGAGACACAGCAGTACCATGGGAACAGCAGCACTGTATGCCCTCAGCCCAGTCAAGACCCAGGGGCCCATGGGCACTCCCCACTGAGCCTGCGGACCCAGAGTGACCACTGAGATTGCTGGTCTCCTATTCCTGTGCCTGTGCCTCCCAGCACCTGCTTCCATCTCTGTGATGGCACCTCTCACTAAGCGCTGAGGACTCCCAGACAGCCATAGACGTTACATGGGGGAAATTCCCTATTTTCAATTTCCTAGACTCAATTGTATCAATTAGGGTGTATCTGTACTCTGAAAAAAGGAGCCCTGGTGGTGTCATCGGTAAAGCACTGGGTTGCTAAGCTTTAGGCTGGCAATGGATACCTTGAAAGTTCTTCTGGGTCCTGGGATTCCTCTCCCCTTCCCCCTTGCTCTAGCCTTCAGGGAAGCGATATGATTTGATTTTGATTTTTAAATTTTCCTAATCTAGTCAAACATTTAGTTTTTTATGCCAATTTTTAAATTTTATCTGTCCAGAAATGGATTGATTTCATTCAGGTTACCAAATTTATTAGTATGATTATTCATGTTGTTGTTGTTGTTGTTGTTTGCTGCCTTTGAGTCACCCCCAACTTGCACAATGGGAACAGACTGTTACGATCAATAGGGTTTTCAGTTGCGGAATATTTCCCGATTTCCAGGAAGCCCCACTAAAGCCTGTTCAGTATCATAGAAACACACAAGCCTCCACTGACTGGTGGAGCTGCGCTGGCCAGGAGTGCTGCATCAAAGGCAAGAATTCCACCACTGAAGCTGACTCATAGTACTCTTGTTGTTTTGAGGAAGTACGGTGGCTCCATAGGATACGCAATGGACGGTGAACCCAAGGTTGGTGGCTCGAGCTCACCAGCTAACAAATAAGGTTTCTGCTCCTGTAAAATATTTAAAACCTCAGGTTCACCACGAGTCTAAACTAACTCCACAGCACTTCCAACAACAACAGCTTGTTTTGAAAATCTCTTTTGGGTCTCTAGGTATTTCTCTTTATTTTATTTACACTCACTGTTCTCTGGATTAACGTTCCTAAAGATTTGCGTATCTTGTTTTTATTTTGTTCATCCTTCTCTTATTCTCAGGAGCCTAGAGCTCAAATGCTTACTAAAAGGTTGGAGGTTTGAACCCACCAGCCACTCTGTGGGAGAAAGATAAGTCTGTTGGCTTCCATATTGATTACAAATTCGGAACCCCCCTGGAGCAGTCAAGTCTGTTCTATAAGGTTACTTTGAGTTGGAATCAACTCGACAGCAATGGGTTTGCTGTTTTGACTTCTCCTCTCTCTCATTTCTGTATTTATTTGATTTCTGCATATTTTAATTAGGATAATCTTATTGCTCTAACAGATATGTCCCAAAATAACAAAGAATTCAAGTTGATTTCTTACTCACCTCACAGGCCAAGAGAAAGTATGGCATATTCTAATTTCCAGAGCTTTTCCTTATCACTTCCCCCTGAGATGTGGGAGGAAGGATATAGGAGAGAAGGAAATGTCCAGATATGGATATGTCTACCTGCATCTGCTGCTATAGAACCTCCCACTCCACCAGCACCCCCTGGATATTCCTCCCCTAGTCCAAGCATCTTTGGGTTGTTGCTTCTTACTGTGATTCTAATATTGTAATTAAATCTACAGAATGACGTTGTATCTTGAGTCAATCTCTTATGATATACAAAAGAGATTAAACAATTAAGTAGTGATCAAGGGATCTACCACCATCAAGAAAGAAGAACTGGCACTGTGTGATGGTCAATCATTCAAATCAAGAGAGCAACATTTACATAAAGACAAAGTTGAGAAGGGATGGGAAGGTGGATGGAGTGGAACCATAGGGAAGAAGTGGGATAGCTGTTGTTGCATGGAGGGGATTCCCATCATTGAAATGAAACCAAGTGTGTGATTTGTTGAATGTAAAACTGATGGTCTTGTCTGTAAACCTTCACTTAATTTACAATAAAAAGTTGTTGTTGTTATGTGCTGTGGAGTCGGTTCCGACTCATAGCAACCCTGTACAGGGTTTCCAAGGCTGTAAATCTTTATGGGAGCAAAAAACCTCATCTTTGTCCCGCGGAACAGCTGGTAGTTTTGAACTGCTGAGCTTGCGGCTCACAGCCCAAATCATAACTACTACTCTACCAGAGCTAAAAAGAGCTAAAAGAGTTAAAAAGGAAAAAAAAAAAGTCAGGAAACATGATTACAGAAAGCTTGTAAGCCCATCTTCAGTCTATAACTGATTGGAATACCTAATGTAATACCTGAAAGGCGTTCTAGAACTTGCCCAGTGAAATAGGCCTCTTGTGGAGCCCTTTGCAGTGTATAGGACCTTAGGTGGAATCCTGGGCCCCATCCAGAAAATTCTGAGGTGGAACCTTCCCACTAGAAAGGACAAGCAGACCAGCCTGGAACAGCTAGAGCAACAGAAGATACATCTTCAAAGAAAGATTAGCAGGAAAAACCCAAAATAAAATGGCAGTATGATTGGCTACTACAAGAATAAGCAAGTTGTTTGCCCGGAAGCCATCAAGACAAGCAATCAAGTCCCTTCAGGTCAAATCCCCCTCTAAGACCGAAACTCAAAGGGAACACATGAGCAGGCATGTAAGCTTGCTGGCAACCACACTGCTCTACTGGTGAGTGAAAGAGGGGGAAAGACAACAATGAAGAAATGTGCTGAGCTCAACCATGTTCCATAGACTCCCCTTGACCTGGAGATGAGAGAGAGAAGAGGAAGGGCTGGTTGGTCCAAAGTGTGGTGAGACCTGGGGACACCTGAGCCCATAGAAAAGGACATAGCCATGGAGGGCTATAGCTGAAAGTGAAACATCCAGCTGATATGAAGTGAGGGGAGATGCACAAGAACAGCCAAACTTGCAGATTGTACCCATTTGACCTAGCCTCCTTGATGGCTTGATAATCAGAACTTAATTTGTTGTTGTTATTAGGTGCCATTGAATCATTACCGACTCATAGCAACCCTATGTACAACAGAACGAAACACTGCCTGGTCCTGGGCCAACCTCACAATTGTTGTCGTGTTTGAGCCCACTGATGTTTCCCCTTTGCCAATCCATCT